CTTCCTTCCGAGGAGTGGCTGGTGGGTTTGAACCGCCAGCCTTCTGGTTAGCAGTCAAGTGCCTTAGCCACTATGCTACCAGAGCTCCCATTATTTTACTAGTTAAGCTAAACTATTGTATGGTTTTAAGAAGATAGTTTAGGTTTTAGGTTTAAAGCTTACCCCAGGGCAATAGTTTCACAGGTTCATCCAGCCTTGTGTCTCCATGGAGCCATGAGAAATTCTGAAATCCATGAGAATTTGGAATTCTGTTCTACATTTTCCCCCTGTTGATCAGGATTCTTCTATAGAATCTTTGATAAAAATGTTTGGTAATAGTAGCTGGGCACCATCTAGTTCTGGTCCCATGGCAAAGGAGGGAGTTGTTCCTGGAAGCAATTAGCCACACAGTCCCTGTCCTCCTCATAGTCCTGAGTCTCCTTTTTCCTCTGTTGCTCCAGAGGAATAGAGAGCAATTGCTGTGCCTTTGACAGCCACTTGCAAGCTTTTAAGACTCCAGACACTATGCAAGAAATGAGTAGGTAACAGAAGCACTAAACACATTATTAGGCCAATTAACTAGGATATTCCATGAAACCATAACCCTAAATAAGGAATCAAATCTCATGATCTGTTTTTTGCTTTTTGTAAATATATCTATCAAACAATTTTTGCCAAATTTTATAGGTGCACAACTTATTAACAGCAATTATAATAACTGTCTTTGCAAATCTATCCTTATCCAATATGATTTTTCCATCACTGTTAACCCCCTCCCTTCTTTCCCCTTCCTCCCACCCCTAGTAACAAATGAAAAACTTTGGTCTCTATGCATTTGCCTTTTCTAGTCTTTTTATATAAGTGAAGTCATACAATATTTATTCTTTTTTGATTGAGTTATTTCACTCAGAATAATGTAATGTCTTTCAGCTTCATCCATATTGCTGTTGTTGTTGTTATTAGGTGCCTTCAAGTCAGCTCTGACTCATAGCGACCCTACATACAACAGGATGAAACACTGCCTGGTTCTGTGCCAGCCTCACAGTCTTTGCTATACCTGAGCCCATCGTTGCAGCCACTGTGTCAATCCATCTTGTTGAAGGCCTTCCCCTTCTTCATTGGCCCTCCACTTTACCAAGCATGATATCTTTCTCCAAGGAATGGTTCCTTCTGACAACATGACCAAAGTAGATGAGATGAAGTCTGGCCATTCTCGCTTCCAAGGAGCATTCCAGCTGCACTTCTTCCAGGATGGATTTGTTAGTTCTTCTGGCAGTCCATGGTATTTTCACTGGCCAATTCTTTGAGAAGTGGATGGTCCCTTCCTTTTCCCAAGTCTGTCTTAGCCCAGAAGCTCCAATGAAACCTGTCCACCAGAGTGACCCTGCTGGTATTTGAAATACTGGTGGCATAGCCTCCAGCCTCACAGCAACACTCAATCCACCACAGTATGACAAACTGACAGATGAGTGGTGTTCATCCATATTGTAGCATGTATTAAACTTTGTTGTTCCTACTTCCTGAGTGGTATTCTATTGTCTTGCATTGACTTCCTGTCCTTGGGTTACCCCTTAAAGGACAGTGTCCTGAGCCCATCTCTTTCCTCATTCTACACATGCTCTCTGGGTATTCTTATCCACTCCTATGGCCTCAATTACCACCAATAAGCTGGGGGTTCCTACCTGCATCTTCAGCTCAGACTACTTTTAAGTCCTGCAGGCACCTCAACTGTAAACTTGACCAAAATGGAAAGTGTCATCTGCCCCCAGGATTTGTGCCTTTTCTTATATTTTCATCTCTCAGTGAGTGGAATTTCCATCCACCCAGTCATCCAAGCAGAATTCTGGAAATCTTGGCTTCCTCCCTTTCACTCCCTGTTTACACCCAGTAAGTCACCCAGACCTGTTGATTCCATCTCCTGAACAGCTCCTGAACTTATCTTTTCCTCCTCAATCCTACTGTTTATGACTTGCTTTAGCCTCTTAGCTTCTTTTACCAGGATGACCAAAGGCCTCACCTAAGTAGTCTCCATCCTTAGTCTCCAACCTCCTATTTCACTTTTCACACCTAGCAGCCTGAGTGATGGTATTGTGTGTGGCTGAGTTGATTCCAACTCATAGTAACCTCATGTGACAGAGTAGAACTACCCCATAGGGCTTCCCAGGGTATAATATTTATGGGAACAGATCTCCAAGTCTTTCTCCCATGGAGCCATTGGTGGGTTTCAACTGCTGACCTTTCACATAATCAATACTCAGCAGCCTGAGTATTCTTTCTAATATGCAAAACTGATTATTTTAATCTTGTGCTAAAGGCAATAGCTCCCCCAACCACTGGATATAAAATCATGCTTTTGCATGCCTCCCTAAAAATATCACTTACTATTCCCTTTGAATTCCCTATCTCCTGCAATCTTGGAGTTTCATACCACTATGTTTCTGTTCCTGCTGCTTTTGAAACCAAGTAAAGTAAAAACTATTTCCCCCACCTGGTACCCAGATGGGAATAGATAAGTAAACTAAATTACCCCCAACTATTAGGAGCTCTGGTAGCATAGTGCCTAAGGCACTTGACTGCTAACCAGAAGGCTGGCGGTTCAAACCCACCAGCCACTCCTCGGAAGGAAGGTTGGGCAATCCTACTTCCGTAGTGATACTGCCTCGGAAACCCAAGGAGGGGTCGCTATGAGTCCGGCCGACTCGATGGCAAACAACAACAACATTTCCTCACCCTGCACAGATGAGTATTCAGTTCCTTAAAGAACTGAATGGAAGGAAAACATTCTTTCCTGCAGGTGATAGACATGCTAAAAGTGTCTTAGAAAACAACTTGTAAATTAACTCTGGCCCACTGACATGCACAGAAGGGCAGAAAGGAACAAAAGTTAAAGGGAACAGACACTCTCTTCCCTGCCCAAGCCCCTATCAGCTGATGACAGGAAGCTGGTGTGACTCATCCGCCTCTGGGCCAATAGTCAACCATTTCACGCCCCAAATTCCTCAATCTTTTGTGAATATGCATAACCCCCTCTTCTGAAATCTACAAAAGCTCTATTTTGATGGCATCTTGGGGTGTCAGATCTGGGTACTGGCCCTACTCCTTGCATTGCTGCATCGCAATAAATAATTTTCTCTCTTCTTAGTCTTGGTGTGTAAACTGTTTTGGCCTGACTGTGCACTGGGCAGGGACCGCATTTGGTCCTATAACACTTTCTGGGCCCAGAATGACTTTCCCTTATCAAAATTCAGTTCAAGGATCCCCTCTGTGTAAAGCCTGTTCATTGTGTTTCCACTGAACTCTGTACAGACTTCTGTCATATCACTATCTCCCTTGACTAGTCTGTGAGGCTGCTGAGGGCAGAAACCATGTCTTTTGCATCTTTGAGTTCCCAGAAACCAGCATAGTGCCTGGCACACAGTACTTAACAAGTAAAGCATTTATCAGTGTTGTGACTCATGGAGTGGTGTCAGGCAACATTCTCAGTGTGTATACCTCTGGCCCTGCTGAGTTTAATTAATGTCGTAAATACTTCACATTATTACTAGCAAGTCAGCCTCACATCAACCCCATCAAAGGGTTCTGGGAGACCATGACTCAGCATTACTTTGCTTATTTTACATAAATAAAGCCAAGGCATAGAGACACCTGAAATTTCAGAGGTAGGACTTAACCCTCCCTCCCTCCACCTCTGAGGGCAAGTACTATTTTACATTACAGGTAGGATGGGCATCCTGGTGGAGAAGCTTACCTTGTGTCCTAGAAGCTCCTTTGGGCATGTGGGCTGGACGCGTTCAGAGCTTTCTTTTCCACAGCATTGAAACTAGAGTCAGAAAAGAGAGCTTAGCACCTGGGAAGAAGAACAACAACTACAAACCTGGTGATTACTGCCAACGACTAAGATGGCTGTGGTAACAAAGGGGCATGAAGGCTAGTCTGTGCAACACAAACTGGCATTTCTGGAAAAAGAGTGAACAATCACATAATTGTGTTGGCAAAACAAGAAAATGACTTCTCTAAAGTTGTCTGAATTTTATGATAGGAAGTGACTCAAGGCAACCCAAATGTGGCAGGAAGCTAATTAATTGTTGGTATAAATTGCTGCTTTTTAGACAGGAGTCGGGGCCTTTAGATCCTTTCTTTCCTGACTGGTAGTAATTTAACCCTGCTGGGTAGCTAAAGTTTATGAGCTTCAGGAAGGGCTCATTAACTGGGGACAGAGTGGGAAGGAGAAATGGCCACAGTAATCCCCAGGGTCAGGAGACCAGAGCTTGAAGACTGGCCAACAAACAGGTGTGATGCCTTGGGGATGGCCCTTTAAACACAAAGGAAATTGTGTGCTGCTTGATGCCCCTGGGGCAGCTGAGGCTAAACAATGTAAATACTTGGCAGCTAATACTTGGCTTTTCCAAGACGTTCCTGTCACAAAGAGCTCAGATACCTGAAAACACTTGGCCCAGGAATACATTACTTCTCCGTGTCACAAAAAGCAAACAAAATCCACTGTCCTCACAAAAAGCAAACAAAATCCACTGTCCTCCAGTTGGTTCTGATTCGTAGTGACACTATAGGACAGAGTAGAACTGCTCCACAGGGTTTCTAAGGCTGTAAATCTTAACAGGAACAGATTATCACATCTTTCTCCCAGATAGTAGCTGGTGGGTTTGAACTGCTGACCTTTTAGTTAGCAGCTGAGAGCTTTAACCACAATGCTATCAGGGCTCAATATAACAGTGTTGAAGAAATCATACATCCCTGACCTTGCCCATCTCCTCTGAAAGCCTACCTTGACTAACTGTGCAGAGCAACAGCATATTCCCACAGAATATTGGAGAAGGGAGCATGGCTATCGCACACAATTCTTCATTTTACAGAACAGGGAGCTGAGTATCAGGGAGGCTAAGTAACTAGCTAGAAGTCACAAAAGTGTTCAGTGGCAGAACCACCCACCACTAGAAATGAGCTTTTCTGACATGAAGGGCACAGTTGTTTGTGTTATACCACAGTGCTACACCAGAGAACCTGGTGTTTGTCAAAGAGAGAAATTGATAGCACATATCTTGCTTTGATTTTGGGGTTTTCTTATACACAAAACCAAATACTCACTTTAAAGAAATCCCTGATCAAAATTAATCTGCCAGTGGCTTTTCTTTCATTCTAAATTGCAAATCCTTTCTTTCCTGCTTGAAACTAGCCTCATTGAATTTGAATTTCAAAAGATATGGCTGCAGTCAGAGACCATCTTGGGGCCTGATACCAGGGGGAGGGTAGAGTTCAATCAATCATGGTAAGATTAGCCACAGGAGCTCTGGTAGCCTAGTGCCTAAGGCACTTGACTGCTAACTAGAAAGTTGGCGGTTCAAACCCACCAGCCACTCCTCGGAAGGAAGGTTGGGCAATCTATTTCCCTAGTGATACTGCCTTGGAAACCCAAGGAGGGGTCACTATGAGTCTCACTGGCACATAACAACAACAAGATTAGCCAATGGTTGATCTTCTATATTTCTCTCTCCTCTTCTTTTTATAAGCCTCATTGTATCTCGTTTCTTTGAGCCATTTGCTTTTTCTGGAATCAAAATGTTCTCCCTATACACGTATAGACTAACCGCTCAGCATAAACCTGATGCTCAAATTTTTATGGCTTTTGATTATTTTGTAACATATTTGTGTAGGCTGCTTTCTCTGTGTTCTTCTTTGTTCTCGTTTATCTTTTTTGGGCACGTATCCTGACTTTCTCTTGTGAATTCTGTGTGCTGGGCTTCTCTGTCCTCGAGGGTTCCATACCTAACGCGTATCATGCTTCTCATAAGGGCTAAATTATAAAGCACTGCTTGGCTCAACTGAATTTATTTCTATTCTTAATCAAGGTGATTAGAGAGAACCTTGCATAATCTTTAGAAGATATAATTTTAAGAAAGAAGTGCAGTTACTTACTGTTGAATGGAAGGTAATGAGAGTCCCATTTCCCTTTCCCCTGTCTTTAAGGTAATCATTATAAGCCTCTTCATACATGGTCTGAATATGACGTATAGCCTGAAAAAAACCAGTTAAATGGAAGGGACAATGAGTGGGGCATTTTAAATGTTCTTCTTCATCAAGGAAAATTTCCTCTTTCACACACTTTAAAAATTCTGTCTTCCCATATTATTTATCTATATTTTAAGGGAATTCTGCATATATATAAGAGGTTACAGATTCTGGAGTATCTAAAGTCTTTTGAAGATGGAAGAATGACTAGACAAGAACAGACTCCTATGGACTAGACAAATTTCTTAGAGTGGAAGTTCCCAAAACTGTTCGGGTATCAGGTTTCATTGGAACCTAGATTCTTGCCCTCCTCCCACAGGTGATTTGGTTGGATAACCAGGATTGGGTCCCATGTCTTGTTGGTACTCCACTGGTTAAAAGTACTCACATTTTTTCATGACATGGTTTAAAATGTGTTCATCACTAAGAAAAATGTTTCTACATTGAAATATCACATAAAGCTTATTAAATACTTTTTATAGTGTAAAGGCTTGTGATCCTCAAAAAGTCATAAGATCCAATTCTACCTCTATATGGAGTTGAACTTAAACTAATCTATAAATATAACTAGCTACTTAAGAAAAATTCCAAAGGAAGTGACATTTACTTATTCTATATTTTTACCATTTTCTTTTTCTAATCTAAAATAAGTTCATAAACACAATATTCGTGGCACATGAATTTATCTGAAATACAGTAAACTTAGGAGTCCATTCTTCTTCCTTTTCCCAGTGTGTTTTACCCATGGAAGAATGCCACTCCTTCTGTGGGTTCTCCTAAGAACCTATTCTGGACACCTACCATCCAGGTGTTCTGGACACCTACCATCCAGGTAGCAAATTTAAACCACCCAGCCCATAATAGGTCAGGCTTTTTTCTTTGAGGACAATGCAGTCTCTGCCTAGGCCAATTTTTTTTTTTTTTTTGTGTGTGTGTGTGTGTGTGTGATTTGGGTGAAAGTTTACAGAGCAAATTCATTTTCCATACAACAGTTCATACACATTTTGTTTCATGACATTAACTGCAATTCTCCACAATCTAACAGCTCTCTTCCCGCTTCCTCCCTGTAGTTACCTCTTTCCTGTGTCCTTCTATGCATTCTTGCTCCTTGAGCTATCTCCCTGTGCAGATACTGCCCTTCTGTTCTTCCATGATTGATCATCCTAAGAGTATATTTACCTTATGTAAATATTCTCCCCTTATGCCTGTCTATTGTTTGGATGGAAACTATAGGAGTGAGTTCAATTCCAGACCTGAAGGGTAACTAGGGACCATAGTCTTGAAGGTCCCGCAGGCTCTATCAGACCAGTAAACCTAGTCTTTTTTTTTTTTTTTTTTTTTATGATTTTGAGTTTTGTTCCACATTGTTCTCCCACTCTATCCAGGATTTCCTGCACTGATCCCTCTCCAAGCGGTGGACAATGGTAGCTGGGCACCATCTAGTTCTTCTGGCCTCATGGTCATATAGACTGAGGTTCACATAGTCTATTAGTTCCTTAGATTAATTGTTTCCATGTGTTTTTGGTTTTCTTCATTCTTCTTTGCTCTGGACAAGGAGAGACCCATTGTTGCATCTAGATGGTAATTTGTAAGCTTTTGAGACCCCAGTCGCTACTCATCAAAGTAGGAGGTAGAACAATGTTTTTGTGTAGTGTTATGCCAATTGAGCCTGATGACCCCTGTGACCATGGTCCCGAGACCACAGATCCAACAACTCACTCTTTCAGGATGATTGGCTGTGGCTAAGAAGTTATCATAACTTTGCCTCTTGTTAGTTCTATTGTCTAGGCCAATTCTTAAGGATAAATGACAGTCTAACTCTAACAAGGGATGAGAATGTATATTCTTCCTCAGGTCTCCAATCTAACCACTTTCAAATTGGGCTCAGTCTCATACTTGAGATCCTGATTATTATTATTATTTAGATCCTAGATCCTTTTATAAATTTAATGAAAACTACAGACTATTTCCCTAGAAACATATGCACATGCATAAGCACACACATTCATAGAAACATATGCTCAGTTCAGTCCATTATTTATAGGTCAAGAAGGTTTGCTTAAACTATAATTTTGGTAATTATTTGGTTTCTTAATATATTGTGCGTATTGATATTCTCATATCCTTCACTATAAAGTGAACACATTAACCATCATATAGAAAACATTGTAAGCCATTTTTACTTACCACACCCTTGCCTATAAAAGCAAACACTCCAGTGGTTACTTCAGCAGCAAATATCACCAGTAGGCAGGTGAAAAACTGCAGAGGAGAGAAAACACTAACTTCATTAATTCAGTACCTTTTCAATGTAATTAGGTTATTTGATTCTAGTTCTATTTGAAAAACATTAAGCAAAGCTGTTAGTTTAGTTGATTCACGGGAAACATATGCCTCCTCAGTCCCTTTTATGTGACAACTGAGTCACTTTCTTATAGTTTGTTCATTCATTCATGAATTTGTTGATTCAGCAATTGTTTAAGGAGCAGCTATTCTGTGTTAGGTACTGTCTTTCGTGCTGAATGTACAGTGGTGAACAAGATAAGATCCCAATATCTGTGCTCACAGGGACATTATATCAGAGGAGAGAAGGTGTGATAAATAAAACAATAAAAAAGCAAATACAATAATTTCAGTTAGTAATTTAGAAATCCCCGAACCTATGACAGTACCTGACACCTATGTGATCAATAAATATTTGATGAACAAATTAAGCTCTATTAAGAATATAAAATAGGGTCAGGAGACAGGGAATGAGTGGTAGGGCCTAAGCTTGGGGAGGACTACATGGTCCAGAAAGACAGCCTATTGGAGGAGGTGGTACTTTTGGGAATGGAAGTGGGAGTGCAAGTGAGGGGGATGCCCCTCTGTTCAGGCCTCTTGAGTCTGCTCTGGTCAAACCAAGTTCAGTGAGAACCAGAACAGATAGACATCAACAAGGGAAAGAGAAAAAGAATGGAGGGTTGAGGAGATGACTTAGGAATTTTACACAGCAAGAGATCACAAATAAGCAGCCACAGTTGAAAAATCCAGAGATTGCAATGAGCAATGAGAGGCTGCCTAATAAAATTGCTGTCCTGACTTCCCCTGGAGAAACACAAAAATCTCTCTTTTCCTGTCCCTCTCCTTTCTTCTTAGGCCACATTAGAGGTGCAGCAGTTATTTGAAATTACTTGATTTTTTTTTTTTTTCAGAAAAAAGTAGCTGCTCATTAAAATATGCCACAAAATGGATGTCTGGTTAAGTTATTCACCTCAAACAGAAGTGCTTTTCTTGTAGAAAACAGCACTTCCCAGGCTATGGGAATATTTTAGCTGCCTCACCCACCTTGAAATATTATTTTGTGAAGAAAAATCATAATAAAAAAAAAAAACACTGCCATCGAGTCGATTCTAACTCATAGTGATCCTTTAAGGCAGAGTAGAACTGCCCCCTGTGGGCAGTTTCGAAGGCTGTAAATCTTTATGGAAGCAGACTGCCTCAACTTTCTTCCATGGAGTGGCTGGTGGGTGTGAACTGCTGACCTTTTGGTTAGCAGCCAAGCACAATCATAATAATCTTTTATAATTCTTAGGTATTTTTCTTCCCAAAACATCTTCACACTAATACTCATTTATTTTCACACTTTCCACATGAGGCAAGGATAAAGATAATATTATTCTTATGCAAGACATGGAGAAACTGAGACGCAGGGTGAGGGAGTGAATTGCCAAGGTCTCAGTGGGTCTGTGGAAGAGTTGAGGCTGGAGGCCAGATGTCTGGACTCCCTTCAGACCAAATCCCTTGCCACTCCCCCAACCCCTGACACCACTTACTGATCCGAGCACACACTGGGACTCCCGCATGGCTCCACAGCATCCAAAGAACCCCACGGCCATCATCAGGGCTCCGGCTCCAACCAGCACATATAGCCCTGTGGGAAGAGGTCAGAGGAGATGCTTCCAACTCCAAGCCCGACTAGAGAAAGGCCGTCTCTGGTCTCTCTTCCCTGAGGGCGAGCGCTAACAGCACTGCCTTCTACACAGCCTGGCAAGATTTTAGGGGTATCATGGCATTTAATTGATAATAATATCAAATGGTAACACTTCATACACATTAGCTAAGCACTTCATATACATTAGCTAACTTAACCAATGAGGTAGGGCTACTATTATCCCCATTTCACAGAGAAGAAAACCAAAGCTTACAAAGGTGAAGAAACCAGCTCAAGGCCTCATGTCACAACCAGGAAATGATGGGGCCAGGACTGGAAACAATGTCTGTCTGTCTGACTCCTAAGTCTCATGCTCTTCATTATGACAGTATGCCTTCTATATGGCAAACATTTTACAGTTAAGATTTCTACCACTTATAACGTACTACTATTATTTGCATGAATGGATAAATTTGCATCCAGGGATGGTTACAAGCTAGGATTTGAGCTGGGGGACAAGTCATGGCTTTTACTGAACCCTTCTGGTTCCCATGAACCTATGGCATTAATGGCTGTCTCACCTCATGAGAAGCCAGGAGTGTCTGGGAGGGAAAAGGGGTGATGATCTGCCCAGGTATAGATATGGAAGCAGGGGGTGCATGGGATAGAAAGAGGGCTTTTGGTTCAGGCCATAACAGGAGGTTATGAGTATGTGTTACAAGAAACTACCCAATGAGGGCAGCAGATAAGCTAATATATACTGAATATTGTTATTAACATAACATTAGCTACATTTATTGAGGGCTTATTTTATTCTAAACACCTAACACATAAAGATTAATTTAATCATCATGACCAGCCTGTAAAGTAGGTATTATTATTATCTCCATTTTATAGACCTAGGCACCAAAAGGCTAAGAAATTTGCCTGAAATCACTGAGCTGGTGCTTGGCAGACCTGGCATAAAAATATCCATCTGACTGTAACCGTTACTAAAGCTGACTCATAACCATCACTCTACCCTGCCTCTCTAGCAATATTAAGCCATGCTATGCTATGAGTCTATTCTAACTGATAGCAACCTTATAGGATAGAGTAGAATTGCCCCATAGGGTTTCCAAGGCTGTATATCTTTACAGAAGCCGATTGCCATATCTTTCTCCCATGAAACAGATAATGGGTTCCAACCACCAACCTTTCAGTTAGCAGCTGAGTGCTTAACCACTGTGCCACCAGGGCTCCTTCTAGCAACATTCAAACCCAAAAAACCCACTGCCATCAAGTTGATTCAAATCATAGCAACCAAACGGGACAGAATAGAACTGTCTCTTAGGGTTCCCAAAGCTGAAAATCTACCGGAGCAGACTGCCTCATCTTTCTTCCCTCAAGAGGCTGATGGGTTCAAATCTCTAACCTTTGGTTACCAGGCGAATGCTTTAACCAGAGCTCCTTCTTAGCAACACTAGCAACCTTAACTTACTACTAAGTCAAGGTACATGGAACAGTTGTTCTCACAGAGAAAGAAGAGGGCAGAAGTGTTCTTGTTCTGAGAGCAATAAAGCCTAGCCTTTCTGTATTTCCTTTTCTGATCCTGAGATAAGTTAGAACACAATATGGGACCTGGTACTTGACTTGCTGCGAAGAATGCTAGTTGTATTTTATTCCTATGAGTCACCTGGAAACCACTCCCATTCTCCGGAGAGGGTGGGGAGCTGGTGTCCCACCTCTGTGAGGAAATCGTGTAGTCCAGCACTCAGGGTGCTTCCTGGGGCCCCTCTGGGCTGCTAAATGCGGTTTGTGGGCAGATCTATGTGCTCACTGACACCGAAGAGGCCAGCAAGTGAGGCTGCTCAGCTTCCTGCATGGTGAGGCCTGGTCTCACAGGAGCCTTGCTCAGGGATAGGCGAAGTCCTGCTGTCCCAGCTCTGCCACTTCCTCCCTTTTGCTTTTCTCTTAAACAATAATTTCATGGGGTATGGATGTAATAATGAGAAAAATGACACCATACCAAAAAGAATACTATTATTTGACTCTACTGTCTGAAAACCCTATTGTTTTTCTTTTTTTTTTAAATTTCAATACTCTCTCACTTTTATCATCTTACTGGCTCCTCAAAACAGCCCCATTAGGTAAATTAGGCAAATGTTGTTATTTCTGTTTTACAAATGGGGCTCAGAGATGGAAAATGGAAGAGACACATAGGATGTAGCCTTGGTTACCACACCATACATTTTCTATTGGACCACCTGGCTGAAACACATTATCCAGTGGTCTCATAGAATGTTTTGTGTGTAACCACCTTATTATATCGATTTTCTGCTTAAGATGTTCATTGTCTTCTCATTGCTACATGATACATCCTACACATTCTGCAGAAAGTCACAGTCTTGTGTTACTCGAGGTACCAGTCTCTCCTACACTCCAGCCACATGGGAATTCACCATGACCTAAACATGACTTACTCTTTTCCATTTTGTGCTTTTGCAGGTTCTCATATCTGTCTCTCTCTATAGATGTTAGGAATTCCTTGAGTGGTACAAATGATTAAATGCTCGACTACTAATAAAAACGTTGGCAGTTGGAACTCACCCTGAGAAGCCTTGGAAGAAAGGCCTCGAGATCTGCTTCTGAAGGGTCACAGCCTTGAAAACCCTTTGGAACAGTTCTACTCTTCAATACGTGGGGTCACCATGAGTTGGAACTCATTTGACACCTGGTCTAGTTTTTGGGTAGATGTTGAGTCTTCAAACAAATCTTATTCATCCTATCTAAAATATACACAGCACAAGGCAGGATTCGTAATAAGTATTTGTTGGATAAATGATTCACAGAATGAATCAGGCTCATTGCTAGCACTGTATCAGCCAGTCTTCTGTTGTGACCCACAAGGTTTTCACTGGCTAATTTTTGGAAGTAAATGTTCCTAGTTCATCTTAGTTTGGAAGCTCCACTGAGAGTTGTTCATTATGGGTGATTTGAAATGCTGGCGGCACAGCTTCTAGCACCATAGTAACACACAAGCCACCACAGTATGACAAACTGACTGATGAGTGGTGGATGGTGGTTTTACACCCTGAGAAAAGGCTCCTGAGAAAGTCTGGAATATAGGAAAGAGTGGTACATCTGGCAAGCTGGTGGCCCAGTGGGCAGAGAGGCACAGGAATCTGTGAACAAGTATGTTCAAGCTTTCAGGCAACACTCTTTGCTCATAGCCCTTCTAAAATAATGAACTCTTCAAGAAAATCTGCTTATTTGTACAATGTTCCATTCTGAGCTAATCAGAACCCCAGAACTCAATACACACTGAAACTGCCCCAGACACTTTAACTCCAGAGGTTTATTCCCAACAAAGCTCCATCCCTCTGATATGTATGTGTGGGCCCTGAGACTCAGTCCAATTCCAAAGAAGCACTGCTTGTTGGGGCTAAAGGGAAAATCAAAAGAAATTTGACAAGTTGCAAAATTTCTTGAGCCTACTGAGTCTACTGGTAGCATAGTGGCTAAGTCACTTGCCTGCTAACCAGACGGCTGGCGGTACAAACCCACCAGCCACTCCTCAGAAGGAAGGTTGGGCAATCCTACTTCCGTAGTGATACTGCCTCGAAAACCCAAGGAGGGGTCGCTATGAGTCGGGGCCGACTCGACGGCACATAACAACAACAACAACAACAACTGAGTCTACTCAGAAGGAAGGTTGGGCGATCTACTTCCGTTGTGATATCGCCTTGGAAACTCAAGGAGGGGTCGCTATGAGTCAGGTCCGACTCGACGGCACATAACAACAAGAACAACAACTGAGTCTAGTTGCAAATCTGACTGTAATACTTTGCACACCTGAAGGCCACCTGTGGATTTCAAAAGGATTTTATCCTTTTTAATGTCTGGTCCTCAAAAACTAGCTGTTGAGTAAACACTTAACAGTCTCATTTTAATTCTGAGATTGGTTCTATAGAACTCTCTCCCCTCTGCAGCAGCGTGTGTGACAAATGCATGACCTATTTGCCAAATTCCTCATGCTTTCTAAGCTCTAGTTGCCTTGAATTGAAAAAAGAATATACTTTGAGATTGCAATTTCATCATAAAAAGCTTGGCCTTGCAATGCCAATGACATGCGACCAACAAGAGTTTTTCCTAGGACACCTTCTTTCCTGACAATTCTATCACTTCTCTCTTAGATTTCAGACAGTTCTTTGTAAGCTAGAAGCATCATTTGAATTGACATAAAAGGAGAGAATGACCTCTTAAAAGCTTTGCAAGCATAAACTCACTTAAAAATACTCTCCTCCCTTTTGTTGTTGTTAGGTACTGTTGAGTTGGTTCCAACTCATAGCGACCCTATGTACAGAGCAAAACATCACCCAGTCTTGCACCTTCCTCACGATTGTTGCCAATCTTGAGGCCATCACAGCCACTGTGTCAATCCATTCATTAAGGGTCCTCCTTTTTTTTTGCTGACCCTCTACTTTACGATGAGTCCCTTCTGGCAACATAACCAAAGTACAAGGGATGAAGTCTGGCCATTCTCACTTCAAAGGAGCATTCTGGCTGCACTTCTTCTAAGACAGATTTGTTCATTCTTCTAGGAGTCCATCATACATTCAATATTCTTCGCCAATACCACAATTCAAATGCATTGATTTTTCTATGGTCTTCTTTATTCATTGTCCAGTTCTCATATGTATATGCAGCTTGAAAATACTGTGGCTTGGGTCAGACACACCTTAGTTCTCAAAGTGACATCTTTGCTCTTTAACACTTTGAAGAAGTCTTTTGCAGTAGATTTGCCCAAAGTAATACACTGTTTGATTTCCTGACTGCTGCTTCCATGGATATTGGCATGGTCACTAACTTTAGTGGCTTTTTTGGCAGCAAATGGTTTTATATAACCTACTAATGACCCTCTTTCATTTAAAAACATTTTGTGCCTCTGCAACTCTCCTTCCTTCCCAGCTTCCCCAGGGATACTGCCTCAGAAACCCAAGAAGGGGTCGCTATGTGCT